TATCTTACATTCCTGCCTTCTGCTGCAGGAAAGCACAGCAAGAAAACCCTCCCCACAGGCCAGCACCTTGATATTGGACTTCCCTGCATTCAGACTTGTGATAGAAAATTTCTGTTCTCCATAAACTACCTAGTCTATGGTATTCTCTTTAACAGCACAAAATAGATGAAGGCAGGGATATTCAGGGTTTAACATGAAATAACAAAGTTCTGAAAAATTAGGAGATTTCTAAAAACATAAGTGTAGAGGAGAAATAATAGCCTTTTATACCATTCTAGGTAAAGTCTCCCTACAAATTGTCTTCATCCTATTATTACAACAAATTAGAACTATTTTTGCAATGCAATAGGAACTAAACTGAAATAGCTGTTATATTTAATGAATTAATTATCATAAATAAAACTAAATATACTTTTCTCACACTAGCCACATTTCAAATGCTCAATAGCTAAATATAGTGAGTGGCTACCTTATTGAACAGTGTTGAATATAGTCCATTTCCACCACTATAGAAAGCTACTGGACAGCATCAATCTAGATTGTATTATTTTATTCTAAACTATACGATTTGATCCCTAACATTGTGAGATTAATTCAAAATTAGAAGGCAATTCAAAAAGTCTTAACTATGAATTTCTAAGAAATAGATAATACCTTGTGTTTTATTTAGTTTAATTTGTAATTTGTCTTCATTTGTATTGATTGCCTATATTGAGATTAAAACAGAGAAACAGAGTTTAACACAGGATAATACTAAATTTATTGGGATGGTTGACTACTTTTAAATTTATGGGTCAAAGTGAATAAAGAAAATATATAAATTAAGTGTAGAGATGAGAAAAATCTGTTCATCCATCCACCCAGCTATCAATCTATTCCTTCATTGTATAAGTTTTTAGTAAGTATTGTTGAAGGATCATATGTCCTACTTTGGTATTGTAGGTTTCAATTTGAAAAAAAAATTGTCAAAACTCAGAAAATACATAATGTAATATGAAAGATTAGCATACAAAATAATAATGTAAATAATTCAATAATAGGTTAAGTGCAAAAGCACAAAGAGAAAATCATTTACTTACCTGAGGGTAGATGGAAAAGATAGCACATGAGTGATTATTTAAAAAGATGAGAAACATGTCATACTGAAAACACTAGAGAAGTATTTTTAAAAGCAATGAGATCTTGTCTCTACAAAGATTTATGGTATGCAAATTTAAAAAGTAATGTAGGAGTCAGAAAATCTCAGGATGAAATGCAGATTATGATGGAAGAATACAAATACATTACAACTCTATGAAACAGTCTTATGGAGATGGGTGGAATAATAAAACTCCAATCTGAGTCCCTTTGGAAATCAGTGTCAAAAATACCTGTACATAAGACTTGGACTCTAACTGATAATGTTGTTTCCCATGGACTGCAGATTATGAAATAACTATACACATATACTAGAACTGACTGGGTCTTGCTGCTGAGGGATGAGTTACAAATAAGCAAGAAGGAGTCTAGAATATTCCACATGATAATGGACTAAAGTTGGAGACGTTAGTATGAACACTTATTTAGCTATATATAGATCCAGATGTTTATACATACAAATATATTTATATCTATACAGGATAACGTGTAGTATGTTTGTGTATGTAAGTTTGTTTTGTTAGTTGAGAGGGTTTAGCTATGACAGCCCTGTTGGAATGAGCAAAGGTACTATCTAAATCTTGATTTCAAAATACCATCATGCAGTGAGATTATCAAGGGACCCCTCAGAAAAGGGTGATTCAGAACAGGATAAGAAGTAAACAACATGAGCCAGAAGCATACTGTTGATGCAGGAAGTGTGAAAAAAATCTAAAAAACAAAAACGAAAAACAGCACATACTTGCAATAATGGAAATATTTCAAAGGGACACAAGGGTCAAGTGAGAGAAGTCTTAATGACCAAAGATGGAACAATCTGAGCAATGTGATTAAAAAGTAATATCGGATTATAATTCATATTCTGATATAAAATTTTGACTAAGTAATAATGGATAAGAATAAATAAAGTTTCTGTTCAGAATAATGTATGCAATGCTCTGTCCTTAAAGGAGTGCAGTAATACTCCCTATTCCCTAAGTGTGGTCTATATGCAGTTAGAATCTTCCAAAGAGCACAATATGGAATGATTGGGGAAGGCAAAGTGACTTTAAAGGAGAAGGCTGACAAACCCTACCTGAAGCCAGGTGATCTAGGTTAATACCAACAGTGAAAAGGAATGTTGATAGCATTGCTTGTCCTAGACTTGATGTAATCAGAATGATTCTTTACATCTGTGATCTTCCTCACATGACACATTAACACAATCTAATAATGAAAAACCATCAATCAAATCCCAAGTGTCAAACATTCTATGGGATATATTGTCAGTTCTCCTCAAAACTGCACATTCATTAAAATAAAAGAAAGTCTAAAATATGCAAACAATCAAGAGCAGCCTAAGAGGATATTATTACCAAATGCAATGTGGTATTATGGATAAGATCTTAAACACATAAAATGATGCTGGGTAAGAACTGATTGGGAAAATCTGACTAAAAATATATTTTTATCTACTACCTTAATGATGTAGCAGTATTGATTTATTAATTTTTCTACATATTCCATATGTTTTTATGGAAGTTCTCATTATAATCTTTGCCATGATTTTTAAAAATACAAAACTGTCCTAAAATTAAAAAAAAAAACAAATTGACATTTTATCAAGAGGAAAAAGGAGCCCATATGTTAGTATCTCTGTCAAAATGAAAGATTATTTGGAATCATGTTTTTTCCTAATGTTTAGATCTCAACTCCTCTTAATAATTACATCAGAAAGTCTCAGGTATGACTCTGGCCCAGGCATAAGATTTTTAAAACTTCCCAAGAAACTGTATTGTCTACTCAATATTATGAACAATTAGGTTAAATAAATTGGATGATTACTCTTAAAGAAGTAGAAAACATGAGTATTACAGTAACTGAAGAAGACAGGTAACAGGTGATTGTTTAAACTTCTCTAAAATATAGAGAAGAAAATATATTTTCCTTTTTAAGTTTTATTTTTTTCTAAGTGGTAAGCAAAATCTAGTATATAAAGTGATCTAGAGGATCACAAAACTTACTACCAAAGCAACAAAATTACTTATTTTCATTATATTAAAAATGATGGAGGGAGTAAAGTCAAGTATGATATATTTGATACATAGTAAGAGCTTTTATAAATGCCACAATGTACTACCAGCACATAAAAAAATTAGGAAAAAAAGTTTCCAAAGTAGAAAAAAAAGATGCAGCAAGAAAAACATGAGTTTTATACCAGAAATGCTCCTGTGGTCCAACACAATGACATTCACTGAGGTAACTGAGTTTATTAACAGTTTTGCCCACATATATCCAGGGAGGCACACATGCATTCCACTCTTTGCATAAAAATCTTAGACATCCTACCAAACATAGCTGCACAGTAATTAAAAGTTCCTTTGAGTTCACAAAACATATGTCAACCTTCCAAGTCTATTCTTTACACATAACGGCATTTAGAAAATTTCTTTCCAAGTTTTTCTTCACCACATTTATCATCTCCCCAAATCGCCTGAGAGACATGTTCCCCCACCAACCTATCTCCAAGCCTGTCTTATACAAGTATACTTTTATTTTTTACCCCATCAGATTTTAATTACTTCCTTTTTCTTTTTCTCCACTCAAACATTAATTCTCTGCTCTTTTTATGGTAGAGTTTGATAGGCTCTTGGCTTTTTTTAAACTTTTTTCTTTGTACAATACACATAAAGGCTAAGGTTCTGATGAGACATCAGAGAAACATTCTGACAAGAAAGAAGAGTGGGAAGAAATGGAAAGCTAGAAAAAATTGTCCTTAATGGGTGAGCAGAAAGTTCAGGAAGCTAATTAATTTGAGTTAATATGTGTTCCTCAGCCATACAGATTAATGGGTAACTTTATGCTTGTTTTGATAAATCATCAAAAATCTTTTAATAAAACTCAAAACCATTTCAAATAAATATAATTTAACTATAAGTGAAGGAAATTTCTTAAACTTGACATTTTTTTTCTCTTTTTTATTAGTATATTAATTGTACAGTGGAGTTTTTGTGGTATTTCCATATATGTATATAATGTAGTTAGATAGAATTCACCCCTTCTGTTACTCTTGTCTCTTCTTCTCCCTTTACAAAGCAATGTTATTATTCTATTTTCAGACATATTATTAAAGAAATATTTAAAACTTTAAAATCCTCGGTTAGTAGACATGGAAAAATTGCCTTTTGGAGGAGACATTATAGAATCTTAGTAAGATTCTATACTCAAAATATAGTACTCAAAAATATGCTTTGGATGCAATAATACTATAACAAAAATGTAAGGAAAGTATGTACATAATAAAACAAAGCAAATTGTAATTATAAAGAAGCAGAAATATTAATGTGGTAAGAGTAATCAAAATAGAGGAAAATACAGAAACCATTTCTAGAGTTTTTCCTGTGCAAAACCCTGCTGAGTACACAAACATCTATAATTCCTTAAGGAGAAGACAGACAAATTGAAATGAGTAGTGAAGTTCAGAATGATGCACTATGATATGAACATAGTAGAAAGAGAATCATTCCTGTCATATAGAAAAGCAAAGAACATAACAGACCATAAAATAAAATCTGGGTCTCCAAAAACTATCGTGGGGAGAGCTATCCAACCTCTGGGGACTTCTTTGTGAAGAAAAAATATACTTTCCATATGATTTTAAGCCATCATTTTTAGTTTCTGGTAAAGAGGTTGCAACAACAGCCCAATCAACATGATAGCAAATGCGCATGCATTGAAACTATAACACTGAAATATGAAAACACCATAAATACTTTATCAGAATTTGTATACAAATTCATATTCAAAAGCAACAAATCATCATTCTGACTTCTACAAAAATTTAAAGAGGACAAATAGATGAAATCTAAGCTGTATTTACTAACCTCCAAAGTAAGAGCCATCTGTTAGCTTCATTTCTTTACTGGATTTTGTAATGACACCAGCAACACCATGTTGAATGAAATACATTTTTTTCCCCACAGCTCCTTCTCGAATGATATAATCTCCAGGTTGAAACACCTCAAATCTCAACTTGCTCAGCATGGCAGTCACGAAATTTGGATCCGCATTAGCAAAGAGAGGCATTGTAGCCACCAGTTTTCGACAGTTGAAGTTGACTATCTCCTAAAGATGGCAAGAGTAAATGAATGTTAAAGAACATATTAACCATATATGATGCTTAAAAATATACACCATAATAGTGGAGCTTCAATTTATAATAAAAATATATGAATTCTAATAATCCACATATCTCAGCAAAGTCAGAGATTGTGTTTTATTTTTGTGTTGAAATTTTGTATTCCTGTACCTAGAGTAGTAGATTCATATAGTAAACATTTAATAAATGTCAATTAAGTCTAAAATGTAATAACTTCACATTTCTTTATTATTCTATATATGAAATTAGAACTTAAAAGTGGAATTTAAATCTCCCCCCCTTTTTTTTGACTCATGAAAAATGGGGACCACATACATTAATTGCTACTAGCTGCCAGTCGGTGACATTTAGATGTTATTCGTTAATGTTATTCACATTAGAGAGAGAAAAAAGTTGAACAGAGAAAGGTTACCACAAAAAGGGACTAATCTATCACGGTCCTGGTAGCTCATGTCTATAATCTTAGCTACCTGAGAAAGCGAAATTGGGAGGATCATGGTTCCAGACAAGTCTCGGCAAAAAAGTTTAGGAGGTACCATCTCAACAGAAAAAAGCTGGGCATGGGTAGCGGTGCCTCTCATCCCTACAATGCTAAGAAGTGTAAAATAGGAGAATCATGGTTCAGGAGAGCCTGGGGAAAAAGTGAGACCTTCCTAAAACATACAAAAGTAAAAAACAAAATAAAACCTATGTACAAAATGTAGCAGAGTCCCTACCTAGAAAGTATGAAGCCCTGAGTTTAAACTCCAGTACCACTGAAAGAAAAAGAAAAAAAAAGAAAGATAGGAAGGAAGGAAGGAAGAGAAGAAGGTGGAGAGGAGAGGAGAGGATGGGAAAGGGGAGGGGAAGGGGGGAAAGGGGAGGAGAAGGGGGGGAAAGGGAGGGGTGAGGGGAGGGAAAGAAGACAGGAAGGGAGAGAGGAAGGGAGAACGGAGGAGAAGGAGAGGGGATGGGACAGAGGGGAGGGGAGGGGAGAGGAGAGGAGAAAGAGAATGGTCTAAGATTATAAATTCAACCTGCATCTGTACCAGATCAGAAAATCACTCCTTCCAAACCCTCTTGGGCTTCCATTGGAAGCCATATTACTTTTCCTGGCCTGTCTGTTTGTTTGATTTCTGGGGTCAAATCCTAAATGAAAAGATAGAGATGTTTCAGTTTACTCTATAGATTCTGGCCCAGAATAAGCATATTGTTGTCTCTCTAGACCAAAATAGGGATATGGAAGAACAATTTTCAATCTTGTAAATCAGACATGTGACATAGAGCAGACAATGATATTTCTTCGAAATTTCTTCATCAAAGAACCTTTCATCAGGGAACATCAACATAAAAGGGATGGGCTGAATTTGTGAGCTTGCTTAGGAAGAAACCTGAACCTACTTTTGCTACGAGGTAGGAAGAGGGCAGAATGAAATGGAGGTACTAACAGTGCCTGAGTTCTGATACTGTTGCCATAGGGAAATGTGTTACATGAACTTTGTAATGCCAAGACTGAACAAAGGATTCCTTGATCTTGCATCATACAATTGTTTGACATCATCATGGCATAAGTAAAAAATTCTAGCTGATGGATAAAGAAAAAGTGGTTTATATACACAATGAAATATGGCACAGTTGGGTGAAGGGATAAAAATCCTGTCATTTGTAATGACATGAATAAAACTAGAGATCGTTATGTTAAGTGAAGCAAGCCAGGCATAGAAAGACAAGTCCTGCATTATCTCACTCACATGTGGAATCTAAAATAGTTGATCCATTGAAGTTCACAGTAACATGGTGGCTAGCAAAGGCTGAGTAGGTTGGAAAGAGGGAGATATGGGGAAGATTAATTAGCAGATATTCAGTTACAGTTAGACAGGAGTAAGAAATTCTGTTGTGCTATTGCACAGCTGGATGATTACAGAAAATAATAACATATTGTATATTTAAAAAGCTAAGAGAAGGAATTTTTAGTCTTTTAACCATAAAGAAATGATGTGTCTGAGTCAATATCTGTGTTCACCTTGATGTGAGCATTATACAATATATACATGCATGAAAATACCACATGCCACCTCATAAATATGTATAATTTCTACATTCTTATGCATCAATTAAAGTAAATGTAACTAAAAACAATTTCAGCCAATAAAAAAAGGGCATATTATGATTCCACCCTGGAAATAGTGTGATTTTTTTCAAAAATATCTTGTGAGCAGTGGAGAGTATCTATATCCTTTGATTTGAATTGAATAAAATTTTCACTTCATTATTTTCACCTTTTATCTTAGAAAATAGGATATACTTTTATGAAAAATTAGACAGATATATTTATTTATATATATAACTTTACATGACTACTTTTTTGGCAGCACTGGAGCTTGAACATGAATAACTCCATATGACTGCTTTGAATTTAACAGGTGGGATTGTTTCAAGGAATCCATTCATTTCCTCCCTGTCTTTGGAGTTTTTACTTTCACATGAAATTCTAACAATTATGATAGGAAAAGATGTAATGAGACAGTAATTTCTTGCTCTCTAGAACCCTTCATCCTCTTCTTCAGCTTTTCATAACATGTTCATTTTGAGTTAGTTTAGTAGAGAAAATCATGTGAGTCTAGATGTAAATCAAAACTTTTAAAAGCTCTTTTCTGTCAATCACATTTCCTATGCCATATTTGCTTACACAAAACATAACTAAGTTACTAAACTCTCTCCAAATGTCAAATATGAATGTTAGAGGTCCTTCCTAACTGATATTTCTTTAAAGCACAGTAGTTTTATGAAAGTTGTTATGATTAGTTCTTTTCTTGAATTGTGTAGCCAGAGTGGACATAAATCTGAACTGTCTAAACCCTAGATTGAATGTTGAATACTTCTCAGAAACTTCCTTTTGCTCCTCCCAGTCAACCCCAGAGATTCTAGCCATTTCTGACGTCTATCTCAGTAAAGCAATTTTGCTCTTCAAATTCATGCAAATGAAATTGCATACAGGATAGTCATTATTTTGTGGCTTGCTTCTTTTGCTTGCAACACCAGCTTGATTCACACCATGAGTAGTAAGATGACAGTTCATTCTTTTTTTTCAATTTCAGATTGCAATTATGTTTTTGATTATGTATGGATAATTGATTTATTCATTCTACTTTTCATGACATTTAGGTTGTTTCCAGTTTCAGGCTAATAAAATAAAGCTGTAATGTGCATTCCTGAAATGTGTACCCAGAATTAACACTATTGTCCATCATTGAGTTAAGGTCACTTTCTGAGGGAAGCAAAGATGTAGGCTCTTCCTTTCCTTAATAATAAGATACTGATGGCCCCTTTAAACATGTAATTCTTTCCTGGAACATGTTTTTATTACTTGTATAAAATAATGGGCTTGTTATAACATTTTCATACTCTTATTCTCTGTGTTTTGATCATATGCACTCCCAAGCCATGACTCTCTTGCCCCCTTCCCTCCTTGCATTGGCTCCTCTTCCCAATAGTTCTGTTTCTACTCTCGTCAATTTTTTAAAAAAATATAGACTGCACATGTTCCAGAAAACATGATACTTGTCTTTCTGAGTCTGTCTTATTTCACTTAACATGGACTTCACTTAATCTATGTTTCTACACATGGCATAATTTTTCTTTATGGCTGCATTTGGGGATACCCACAGGTATAGAAGGTCCACAGACAAACAAATAAATAAAAAAGGCCAAGGATGAGAGTATATCAAAGGGACACAGGGACCAACTGAAAGAGCTGATCTTGGTCAGTGCTGAGCCCCTCTGAGCAACAAAATAAATAATGTAGTATTGGATAAAAATCCAAAGTATAAAATAATAACCAAGAGTCCTACAGATATAAATAAATACGTAAGTAAATTAAAAAGTAAGGAAAAGCCCATAACTCTCGTGTTCAATTTCCAAATAATTCATGTAGTTACATCCTGCCTCAGGAGGTGTAGGATTCCTCCCTGTCCACTAATGGTGGATTGAGCATGGTAACGTCCTTCAAAGAAGGAAGGGTGCAAAAGAAGCTTTAGTGTGAAGAAGTGTGATGAGCACCAATCACTTGAAGTCAGATGGTCAATACTAAACTTCTCAGTGAAAAGTAATACTTAGAGTGTATACCCTTCATTGGATGTCATGGGAAGGCGGTTTTATTTCTGTGGTGTTCATCACCAACATTAGTAATCTCTGTTTAACCATGAGAAAAACAGCAGCAAACCCAAACTAAAGGCCATTCTACACAATAGTTGGCCAATGCTCTCCATTCTTTCAAGGTCATCAGAAACAAGGAAATTCTGAAGGAACCATAACAGCCAAGAGAAAACAAAGGATACATGGTGACTAAATGTAATGTGGTTTTCTGGTTATGATCCTGAGACAGGAATTTGACTAAAAGTTAAAGAATTAATAATAATGCATCAATATTGGTCACAAAAATAGTCATGGCCATGTATCATACTAATATAAAGATATTAAAACTAGGGGAGGACAGGTTCAGTGCCTCATGCCTGTAACTCCAGGTACTTATGATTGTAAATCAGGAGAATCATGGTTCAAGGGCAGGTAAGCAAAATGTTAGCAAGGCCCCATCTCAAAAAACAAGCTGGGTTTATTGGCTCATGCTTGTAAGCTCAACTTTGCAGGAGACATAGGTAGGGCTTTCAAGGGCCAAGGCGGCCCCTACCTGAAAAACTAACTGAAACAAAAACTGGTGGGGTTGTGGCTCAAGTGATAGAGTACTTGCTTACAAAGCATGTGGACCTGATTTTTTTTTAAGTAAATAAAGCCAAATAAAATAAAAATAAATAATAAAATAATTCTGTGAGTTATACAAAAACATTATGTATTATCTTTGTAATTTTCTGCATATTTAAATCTATTCTAACATAAAAAGTTAATTAAAGATGTAATCACTACTCTTTACATTTATGAAAAAAAATGTGCTAATTTGTCATAGTATTAGAGCACACTTTATTTACATTGA